GGGGCAAAGAGGGGTGACTGAATTATTAATCATTTAAAAACCCTTATGTTCCCAGATAATGGCCATATTCAGTAGTACTGTGGGTTTCCCCCAATGATAAAAGCTTCCTTCATCTTTCAGTTTTTCCCAGGGTTGAATGTTTCAGCCTTTCTGAGAACTTGACTCTATAAATCACTCCTTCTGGTGTGATAGGACACGCAAGACAAGAACGTCCTTTCGGGGCAGCTAGTCTGTTGTTTCTAGTTGACCCAGTTGTCTTGGTGTGGTCCCTTTTTCAATTGCCTGTTTTTTTCTTACCACACCTTAGTACAGAAAATACCGGAATGCGATTCAGCTCAAAGAAAGATTTGCCATGAGACTTAAGCAGTATGTGAATATTTTACCTACAGTACTTAATAAATCAAAGATAATTTTGTGCATCACTTTCAAAGGAGACATTTATTGTCAATGGAGTTATAAAAATGGCCATCACTGGTGGAGGGCACACTGTGCCTTGACCATGCTGCCAAGTGACTGACTTTCATAAACCGTGGAATCTTCATGAATTCCTTTAAAAGAGCCTGGTTTAATTATTTAACAAAAATGAGGATATTTAAAAACCGGTTTAGTATAAATACTAAAAAAAGAGGAAAGATATGACTCTCAAGTTTTGCATTCATAAAGTATACCAAGTTTTATAAAATATTAAGACTAATCTTTTAATTCTATAATACAGTTAGAGTAAAATGTGTTTTATGGAAAATTTGGTATAATTATCAGTTCTTTATTGCTTTATGAAGGTGTACTCTAAATGGAGTAAGTTTCCACATGACTTTTATAAAATAAGAAAAGGGGTTGATGGAAAAGTATGTGGACTTATAAGGGAACTTTGCTGCTTATGAACCATATGTAGAAATGCTATAAAAGAAAAACTATACCTACTTTTGCTTTATGATTTTAATATTTAAATTAAGTCATGTGAAGTAGCTTTCAATTTAAAATAGGAATGGGATGTTGATAATGGTGTAGTTTGTTGTGGATTTTATGAATTATTTCAAATCTAAGGTTTGACTAATTCCCTGCTACAGTAAGCCGAAGGTCAGGCAGGCTCTATCCTGCATTCTTAAATCTTCTATCTAAATTGGAAGTTGCAATGATTAGGGTTTTTTTTTTGTCATGTGATGAATGTTAAAGGGATGAGGTATCACTTCAAAGCTTGGCTACCATTCTAACTAAACATAAAGTACACGTAAGTATTTATAGAGTAATATTTGGCAAAGTATTCAAATTGTTATAAAAACACAGGAGAAAGATTTCAGTGATGCTAACTCCAAAACACCATTGAATAAACATACTGAGATCCTTGTTAGAGTGATTTGTAGATTTTCTAATTTTTTCTAATTTTCATAAGCCTGAGCTTGAAAATGTTTCAATTCTTCTGTTCCCAATACTGCTTCAAGAAAGAGCATTAAAAAGAGGAAAATGTTTTCTCCAAATAGCCTCAGTAGTATCTTCTAGCTAAAAAAGAATGGTTTAAATGTATCACATGATTCTAATGGTTACTGTCCATGTGACTCCCATTTTGCATCACTGAGAATGTGAAAAGCACAGTCACATGACATAGTAAATGCTACGTAACAGTGCGTGTGATTATTTACTTGCCCTCTTTTAAAATAATCAGGTGACGCAAGTAAAATAAGGCCAGGCTGGTAGGATGTGCTAATGGCAAGCTCCCCCTTTCTATTACTAAGTCAGCCTTTCCAGAACAGATCTGTATGTCTCAGTGTTGGGAGCGACATGGATGATTCTGGAAATCACACCTTCTATGCAGCTTTAGCACCTCTTCCTTCTGCCTTCCCACAACTGACTTTTAATCAGACAGGTTTTTTTTTATTTTGTTTTTTTTTTTTTGTTTTGTTTTGTTTTTTGAGACAGGGTCTCACTATGTAGTTGAGACTGACCTGGAACTCACTATGTAGCCCAGGCTGGTCTCAAACTCACAGTGATCCTCCTGCCTCAGCCTCCAAAGTGCTGGGATTACAGGCATGGGCTACCATGCCTGGCTCAGACAGTTTTTAAATATGGAAAAAGTACAGTAAAATGTGTGATTCTTTCAGAAAGAAGAGTGAGAAATCTTAAGAAATAAGGCAGGTAGGTATGTCGGAATTAGGGAGGAATGACTTGTTTTACCGGTTCATAACTAGCAAAGGGAGAGTGAAAATTTAGAACCTTTAGTAAGTACATTTTTCATCTTCCTTTAAGATTTTGCCTCATGATGTTGTTCCAAAGCTTCGGGAAATTAACTTGCTTTCCTTTTCAGGGTCTATGCCTTGAAGAGGCAAGACCACACAGCTTTTTGTAGTCAACATTTAATCCTAGCCCCTGCAGAATGACTCAGTTCAATGGGTTTCACTATGTCATGATTCTTCATTCCGTATGTATTAATGACCGTGGCTGACTTCATGGTTATTTGAGACTTTTATTTATCAGCAGAGTATAAATACGATGGAGAGGAAGAAAGAAAGGGAAAGTCAGGTAGAAACCACAGAGACAAAAAGCAATATGAGTCTTTTGGAGGCTTCATAGCCTTGCACTGTGATTTTGTGGGTTTTGGTAAGTGAAAATGTTTTTGGCAGGATAAATTACAGGCAATGTGTGATAATGAAGATGGGTAGGGCCTGGGTAAAGGGATCCATTAAGCAGGGGTGCAGCATCTTGCTTCTGTTTCAATTTTCAGTTCTTAGTATAGAAACTGCCATATGGAAAGAGCTTTAACTTTTTTGTTCAATAAAATAAGTAAAAGGAAGTGAAGTTAGAAATGTGGAGGTAGGAAGCAATCATACTTATGTGCAGCAACATTAGCACTTTAAATTACATATCTTTTAAGAAGAAATAATAAAGGACCTTACAGATATGAGAAAATCTATAATAGCAAGAAAATAGTAAGCCACAATGTTTACTTTGTTGTAAGGATGCCTATGGAATAGTTTTTATAAAACGCGGTAAAATATTCTTTTGAGATAAACTACTTTGAAAATTAAGTTTGTAGAAATGGTAACAGCAAAGACATATCAAGTGTGCTTACTGATATTATTTACCCATAGATCCCTTCAGAGATACAGCATTGCCAAGTGTACCCTCCAGGTCTCTTGCCTCGTCTATACTTCTATTTATATTTTCTGTGCAACTCATATTCCACGGTATTTCGAGCCCTAAAATATCCTCTTTAAATTTAACCTTTTAAACTTCCTGTATAATCAGTGAAAGCTACGCAGGTTTGGAACATGGGAGGCATAAATGTTAAGTGGACGACTCCTAACGATAAAAGGTGAATTTGTGTAACTCTAATTTGCCTCGTAAGTGGTTCTTTTTTGTGTGTGTGTGGATACAATTTTACCACTAGATGGCAGCATTCTGAAAGAAAAAAGAACGGGAAAAACCAAGATGATGCTTTATTTACTTACAAAGCTTTCAAAACTGTTTCTTGTCTTAAATTTATTTTAAATTTAAACATTTGATCTCAAGTATTTCTCTTGTTTTTAATAACATTGGAAATCTCTCATCAGCCCGAGAAAAATATCAGAACTTCCCTTCATGTGCTTACCTTACAAAAAAGTTAGTAATTTAAGTGAAAAATGCACTGGGAAGTTATCCCTCATGTCCTCCCAATTTATACAACAAATAGAAGTACAGAAATCCTCTATCACAGTATTTTAAAACCAATTATGAGTACTTTGTTTACTCTGTGTCACTTATGAATACTCTAGGAAAAAAGTCTTTCAAATATGATGTTAGTTATAAAGAATGATATTGAGATAATTTGAATTTGGGACATCCTGCTTTTAAATGGAATGGTATATGCAGTTACTGTTTTCTCATTTGATAGCAATTTTTTTTTTTTGGTACCGGGGATTGAACTCGGGTCCTTGCGCTTGTAAAGCAGGCCACCAAACTGCTGAGCTAAATCCCTGGCCCCTTGATGGCAATATTTTAACAAAAACATTTTAAAGCATTTTGCAAGAAAAAAGTTGCATTCAATATTCCATTGTTTCCAAGAATCTAAGAAAAACAGTTCTTCCACCTGACTTTGAATATACGTAGGCATTCAAGGAGCCCACTCGCGCTGTGTCTATAGCTGACATAGAATATGTGTTATTTATTCCCAGAAGTCAGGTCTGACTTAGTTCTCTTCACTTACATCTGATCTGACCATAGGAGACTCGTAAGCGAGCACTGATAAACTGAGCATGGTAGCTCATGCCTGTAATCTGAACAACCGAGCAGGATGAGACAGGAAGATCCTAACTTTGAGCCCAGTCTGGGCAGTTTAACGAGATCTGGTCTCAAAATTAAAGAAACAATAAAATCAGAAGTTCAGTGGTAGAGCTTCCCAGGGTTCAGTTCCCAGTATCAGGGGGAAGAAAAAGGTGTATTTAGTGTTGACATCTGTCCTTTTTCATCCCAGGAGCCTGCTGAAACTCCTAGATTTCATCTCCACGTTGAAATTCCATCCAGATCATTGGACTTCTGGATCACGTCAGTGCCCGAGAAAGTCTGATCAGCATGGACGGAAGTTTCCTTTGCATTTCTTGGAGCTGAAGATAAAACTAAGCCTCAATGTGGACTGAAAATTATATCACGTACACCGCAAATACAAAACAAGTTAAAGTCAAGGCAAATGGATTAATCCTTTTATTTTTATACTACTGGAAAATTACTGCGAACTGTTTTAAAATGGTATCATCACTTCTTTGTTGTATTCACATTTGCTATTTATAATACGCTCAATGAAAAATCAATATAAGAAATTATTTATATTGTTTTAACACACCACCTAATGAGCATATGGTTAGACTTAATGTTTTTAAAGAAAACTCATTGAACTTTTCAATTAAACTCTATCTTAACCAGGACTGGTCAAAGAACTGAAAGACTGTATGGAAGTTAGTCTTATTTGAATGCAGTTTTAGTAAATGGTACAAAAAAATCACCATGACCTTAAATCAATATTCTTATGTTCTTCAAAGTGTCTTATCCTTTCACATGGCAGCAGAGAGGAGATGTGTTCCTGGAAGTTGTAATCAAAGGATGGGACGCAAGTCCAGGAAATAAGTCATTAAAGTTTTGACCCAAACCTTAGGATGACAAATTAGATATCAAAATGTGTGGTAAGACAGATCAAGCTCCAGAACTAGCAAAAGCATTTGAAGGAGGATGCATTAGAGAACTTTTAATTCTCCTGCAGGTTATAATAGGATCAGGAGCGGGAAGTGTGAGGGAGAGTGGTTCTGAAGGAACATTTTTGTATACAGGAGCCCTCCGCCACACTTGCACTACAGGGCACGGTTTGCAGGGTGAGTGTCCTCATTCCAGGCTGGTGAAAGGGCTCTCAGAGGTTCTTTTAGACCTGGAGAGTGGGATGTGATGGCGAGCACAGGAGCCTGGTGTGGCTGGGCTTCCTGGATGATGATGAGGTGAAGCCGACACAATGCATTGGCAACAGCTGGATTCCTAGACTTGCAGTTCTAAGCATTTCTATGGACCTCTGCTGCATCACACGGCATCACTTCAGGTCCTGTCCATAGAGCTGATAAAATAAATAGGCCTCAGCTAGCAGAAGCTGAAAAGCATCCCTGTATCCCTTGCTGATATGGAAGAAGCAAGTGGCTGGCAAAAGTAGAACCCAAAAGGATACATTCAGGCAAACTTCAAAAGTGGTAGCAAATCCCCAATATGGTCTGATGATCTTTGCTGTCAGATGTGCCCCAGATAAAACCCTCTTCTATTAGCCAGGATACAATGGTTTGTGACATTGTGAAATACAATGGTATTATTCCAGAGTTAGTGAATTAAAGGCCTAGCGACTTCTTTCTTGATCTCTTAGATTGATGTCTCTTGGGGAAAACAGCTGCTAGTGTTCAGGAGGATTAGCTGTTTCATAGAGAGATACAGGTAGGGGGAAAGCAATGTGCCAACTGTGAGAATAAGCCACGCGAGAAACAGATCCTTCAGCTTCGGCCAATGCCTGACTGTATCGTATCAGACACCTCTCTCAGAACTGCCTGAACAAGCCACTCTTGAATTCCTGATACATTTTTTATACTGTAATACTTAGTTAAAATAGACTTCATTACTAGGAATGGGATGTCTCGATGACATATCTCAATAATATAAAATACTGAAAATTGACAAATCGTGAGAGAGACTTTGGGACAAAAGGGCAGAGTAGATAGACCATAAGAGGGGGCTAATGAAAGCTTAAACAATGCCGAGTATTGTTAGCATAAGCTAGATAGCTTGTGAGGAGGTTTGCTGTAAAAATTTGAAGAAAAGTGAAGAAAATGTCATCAGAAAACTAGTGGACCCTTTTTATATGGCAGCAGAAAGCTTAGGAGTACTGTTATTTCTGGTAATGTCAACAGTAAAAACTGTACCTAAAGAATTTAGTAATCTAGCTAAGGAGATTTCCAGGCTGGGTTAAAGGCATTGGTTCCTTGTTATTTTTTCTAAAATAAAAAAGGAGGGAGCTAAGTTAGAACAGCAGTTCTCTAACTCTATGGCACCAGGGACTGGTTCATGGAAGGCCAGGTGGAGGAGGGGGATGCTTTTAGGATGAATGAAGACCATGCCATGTACTGTATTATTACACTGCTATAATATATCATAGCTATACAGCTTACTATGATACAGAATCAGTGGGGACTCTGAGCTTGTTTTCTGCAACAAGCCGGTCGGTCTGGGTACAATGGGATGCGGTGACACCGGGAGTATATTTCTTACGTCCTATCTAAGCCATAATCTCAATTTTGTTGCTGTCATTGCAGAAAACCAAGCTTCTCAATGTTGGGAATGGAAGTAAAGTTCTTATTGCTTTTGTGATGATCTCTGGATATGCTACTTTGACTTTGATGCAACATGGATGGAGATTTAGTCATCTCAGATCTGTGTTTAAGGTCATCATCATTTGGGGTCTTTAGCAGTTGACACTCTGCTAGGACGGACAAAGTTGATTCACCTGGCTTATTCATAAAAAGTTCATGGATCCATTCCAGATTGAATTCGTTGACCAGATTGAGTATGTCATACAAATAAGCAAGTCTTATAACCCATCTTGTGTCACCGACATATTAGTGGTGATTGTTTTTCTAAACTAAATCTCTGGAATGACTCCTGTAAGTCAAAGCCTGTGCCAGTGATCTGTCTTTAGAAAGCCATCTCACTTCTGTGCATTAGAGAAGATGTGCACATTTTGCATCCATCTTCTCACAGATCTGTCCAAACAGATATAAATTAAGGGCATATACTTTAATGAGATTGATAATTTTAATCACATTCCATGAAACATGGTTAAGGTTTTTAGCTCTTCGGCATTTCTCCATGGATAACACAGTGTGTAGATTTGCATTCAGAAGTACTTCTTTGAGTTGAGTAGTGAAACCCGGAAGCCATGTATTTGTACTGATACAAAATGACCAGTTTGATTTTCTGAGGTGTAAGTACTCAAAGACTTCAGTAGTTCTCCAATTTAATGGAAAAGTGCACATAACATATACTCATGCACATTCTTCTGAAAAACTCATCACACAAAAACATTTTGCCTGATTGTCAACCTCAGTGGATTCACCAACTGGGATTGCTACCAGTGTGACCCATTAATCATCTTTAACATCTGTGTGCTGCAATATTCTTTGCTATTTCATCAGTTTATCTAGTTATGATGTGAGCCAAAAAAGAGGGGGAAGGACTGCAGAATCTCCTAAAAGTTCATTTAAAAAATCCTTAGGGAGGATCAACTCTTTTTCAATAGTAGAGGGCTTCTTGGCTTTTACGATGCAGTTAGCCACTAAGAATGATGCTCTCATTGCAGACACAGCTGACAAAATGGTGACCTTCAATAATTGCTTCTGCTCCTTGTGTTCACTTCTTTTTTCTTTCGGAAAACTCCAAAGTCTTGCCTTTTGCGACAGGATGTTTGCCCATGTTGCACAGCAGTATTGAAGGTGTCAAGGCTTTATTGGATAGCAGATTGCCACATGTTACACAAAGCAAGTTTGGAGAATGTGAATCACCTATTGCAATGAACTCATAATTTAAGTAGGACTCCTGGTATTTTTATTATTTTAGTTTGTTAGTGCATATGTGCAGTACATACTGTTCACACTCCTTGTGAGGAGTTGGTGGGTGTATATAACATGTCTTGATTCCCCTTTTCATCTTTTTTCCCTTACCTCTCTCCTCTCTCCACCCATCCTTGGTATGGCAGACTTAATAAACTGAACAATAGGTCAGTGAATTAATTCCCTTGCTGCTGGGGAGTAGTGGCTGCCAACAGCTGCAGCTGCTTGTCCTGTTGGGAAATGCCCTTGACCTTAAGAAACTTTCATTTAAGGTTACATCACTTCCTAAGGGCATCCAAGGTCAATGACTGGTTGGTGCTGAGATGGAGAGGAACAGTCCCGTTGTGTCAATTTTGGACAACTGGGAAGGGCCACCCAAGCTCCATAGCTCTCCCTAGAGTCAGCTGAGGCTGCAATTGTCAACACATTGTAGCTCTGTCCAACTCTATCTACCCTCTGCTCAATTCACCTTTCCACACCTCATGCGTGACTATCCGTTGAGAACACTCATCATGCATGGAGAGGAAAAAGGTAAAATTGAGCAGAGGGCATCTCAAGAAGTAGCCAGACCACACCAATCAAGAGCTCAAGGGTGCAAAAGTATAAATCTCTCATTTGAGAAGATAACCCTTCAACCCCCTGGCTAAAGAAAGGACACTTGGGAAATTGGCTTCCTGGGATTCATTTTGCTGCACTCAGTCATCCAGGCACCCAGAGGCTTTTGCTGCCATAGTCCAAGGGGGCCTGGAGGCAGACCTTGGTGTCATCCATGTGCTGCTGATTTTCAGACATGCAGGAAGCAAGAGTTATTTTCATTTAGATTTCAAAGGACGTCTTGGGAGACCATGAAAGATGCCTTAGGAGGAATATGTATAATGTTGTGTCAGTGAAGTCTAAGGTATAGTGGAGACTTCGGGAAGTAGGAAATGACATGAGCATAGACTATCTGCTGAGGAAAGCCACAGGCATTAATTGGAACCAGCCCAATTTTGATAATGTAAAAAATGCTGAATCTAAAATTAAATGCTTGATAAACATTTGCTTGGGAAATGTTTTCCAAGATCATAGAAGATTGGGCGCTGTAGACATGCGGCAGAATTTTAAATTGAAATTCCACCAGCTCTGAGTTCCAAATGTCCATCTGCTAAAAACTCTTCAAAATCCTGACTTTTATCCACAGGAGAAATGAAGCACAAAACAGGGCAAATGATTTATCCAAAACCCAGTGTTCTGAAGTACTGAATGTGCACCACGCTGAAACCTAAACTGGGTTAGGCAGGGCCCTACGTGTGGGCTAAGTCAAGCTGTTCTGATCTGAACTCCCTGGTTAAACATCTCAACTGACTTCCACTGTCTTTAAGAAGTGAGTCCAGAGGCCAGCAAGGGCCAGGGGTAGCATTAATTATCAATCTGTTAGCATAAAAATAGAAAAAGGTGGGAATATATTGCATATATAATTAGGGCTTTGGAGCACCTAGGTTTGAAATGAAGAAAGTGAGGACTGTGCAGCTGGCTTACTGGTTATTATTTCTGCCCAGTGCTACGAATTATAGTCCTGGTTGCTGTCATGTGGCACGCTGCTGGCTTGCTATTTTACATTGCACAGAAATAACTGGAAGTTGTTATTTCTTTTGGATGAAAATATGAGCTGGATGGGAGAAGTCACATCAGCCCATGGAAAAACTAAGATTTTCTCTTTGTAACGATGATAGCATGTGAAGAACTATTCATCTGACCAAATCTTAGGTTATGGAGATGACTTTTAAGAATCAGTACTTGTCCTAATCAAGTCCAGTCAATTCTAACTATTTCATCATTCATCTTTCTTTTGGTTTTATCAATTTTGCTCCAGATACCAAATTAATCAGATTACTGTAAGCACAAAAAGGGAGAAAGACAAGCCGCCAACAAAAAAGTTATTTAAGTACCACGTGATTAGAGTTTAATATTAAGAATCTGTATGTATAAGTACAAGCTATAGTTATTCTTGGCAAAATAAAATTCCCAGCTTCAAAGTGAAAAGATGGATGTGAGGAGATCAAACAACCCATTCAAATCAGATTGTGAGTTAAAGTATAAATAGATTGAAAACAGATGAAAGTATTGTAAAACAAAAAAGGGAAACTTTTGAATTTATTTGAAATATTAAAGTAAATAGCTAGAGAAAATGTTTCTATTTTTTAAACTCCAAGGTAATTACATATTTATTTTATTTCAAAATCCAAAATATGTGAATAGAATCCTCCATGCTTTTAAATCACAGAATTCTATGTAATATTTAATAATTATCATCATTGAATAATGTTATTTCAGAAGTATTTTTTGAGTTTTCTAAAGGTTGTTTTTCTTTTAAAAAGAGCTATAAAATTTGCCCTATTTTTCTTTCTCATAAACAATGATATTGGTAAACAGATGAAAATATATCTTTTAAAATTCATATACTTTAATGTTATTGTTTAGCAATATGAAA